AGAAAAGATGAGTATATCATATTCTGTATACACCCTATATGTAGCTTACATAATCCAGAAAATGGGCAGATATGATTTTTAAAAGGGGTTCAAAGACAGGCAACTAAATACTGTAAATAAAATGAATGGAAATTCTTAACTACACTTAAAAGTTTAGAAAAAATTTATATTTTTGCTAACAACCAAACTGAAATGTTGAAATACATCCAAGGTCAGTATAAAGATCTGGCAAATTAATATATTATCCCATGGTCTGCACAGAGAACAAGGTGATGTAAGTTGCCTACTGTCAAAAAATTGCTGGTATGACATGGTTTGTAGTTGGCAGCTCCTGCTCTGCGGGTAAATAGTAAAAGTACAGATAAATATTTGTCTATAGTTAACAAGCCACTCAGAACACAAACTTAACACACTGAATTATTACTCTTAATTCTCACCAAACCGTTAAAAGTACAACTAAAAACAAAATTGTCTTTTAAGATTTGGATTAGAACGGTGAAAAGCTAGAACTACTATCAGGCTATAACTGCTGTCTGTGTAAAGAGACTAAATGTGCTGATCACCAATGTCACCGGAAATGAAAGTGAGGGTAAATACAAAATTTCAATATGCTACCAGAACTGCAATAGAAGGGGAATCTTCCAATGGGGACAAAGGTTATCATGACATACGTTTAAGAGGTGATATCGCTCACATTGGAAAAATATATTCCTACTTGCTGTCTACAGGACAGCAATTGCTGGGATATTTCCTTAACTGGACATAGATGGCAAAAAAAAGACTGACAGCGGTTTTTAACCTGTCCAAAATGAAAACAAATGTTGACTTTACACATGCTTTAACTGACTATGTATCAATTGGAATACTTTTTTTTTTCCAGACTGACAAACTGTACCGTCATTTATTGGGGTTTGATTTACTAAAAGTGGAAAGTTCAAAATCTGATGCAGCTGTGCAGAGAAACCAATCAGCTTCCAGGATTTTTGTCAAAGCTTAATTAAACAAGCTGAATTTAGAAGCTGATTGGCTACCATGCACATCTGCACCAGATTTTGCACTCTCCACTTTTAGTAAATCAACCCCCTTGTCTTTATGTGACATTATTTTAAAAAAGAGAACATCTTTAGAAAATGAACAGCAAGGAGGTTTTCATCATCCCATGTCATGCACAGAAAATAAGGTGGTATCAGTTGCAAACTGATAAACATAGATTTTAACATCAATTTAGGAAGGGGTTCCTTAAAATAGATGTAAACCCCATCACTAAGACCTCATTCACACAAGTTTACTCATGCATACACCCGTGTAAGTGTTTTGCCCACGTGAGATGCACAGGTGTTCCATGCATCCATGTGTAGGCAGCCCTAGTCCATGGGCACAGCCACCAAAAGCTATGTGAGGGTAAGTAAAACATTTTGATATACTACCAGAACAGGAATAGAGGGGAAATCTTCCAATGTGGACATTGTTTTTGTGACATAAATTTAAGAAGTGGTATCTCTCACATTGGAAAAATATCTTCCCACTTCTTGTCTACAGGACAGGAATCGATGGGATATATCCCTGGGAAAAAAGAGCAGTGGTTTTAGTATGTACAAAATGAAAAATGTTTTGACTTTACATATACTTTAACTGGCTATGTATCACCTGGTATTCTTTTTTTAGACTGAAAAACTAACAAGGACCGTACCATCAATCATTGTCTTTATGTAACATTTAGAAAATAAAGAGAACAAGGCGGTTTTCATCTTAAGGGTGTCAAAATTGCCTCCTCAGGGATTTTATCTTCTTTCCTACTACTTTGCCATCACAAGGAGAGTCTTACTTCTGATGCTCTTTCCTGAGTGCCATTTTTTTTCTTGTACCTTTTAAAAGATTTTACCATATTCAAATCATAAAGCGATCAGTCTAACAGTCCACACTCCTAAATCTCCTTACTACCAAGATGTTGGTGCTGTGCCCCTCAACTATGATCACATGATTGGAAATAAAGATTTATTGATGTTCAGATCCATAAAAAAAAAATTATACATGACTATAAATGTGGCATTATGTTTCTTCTTTTAAAAGGAATTCTATTGATTTTCAGTTGAATCCTTGTGGTGAATTTAATTGTCTTTTGTTCGTTATTACTTTTTTCACATAAGTTTTGTATACCTATAATGGCTCAGTGTATTTCTTCCCACACAGTCAACACCTTTCAATCACCAATTATTATTTTTACATCAATGTCTTAAATTCCTTTTATGGGTGCATACACACTTATCTTAAAGTAATTTTTTTTTTAGCACTTTCAGCAACTGATGCAATCACTTACTGAGCATTCAGCTTCTTTATCTTTTAATCCCAGCCTGTTCCAGTTTAGGCTAGTGCCATGACCACTGCCCCATGTTTCCTGTCTTACAGTAGCTTCTTTCTCCTGCAGCAACCTTTGGAGCCAACCTTGCATGCAGGGACTAGAGTTGTATCTACCTACACTATGTATATCAGTAGAAACACACAGCCCTGTAGCATAGGATGGCAAGACACTCCCCTGCTCCTCCCTACTTCTCCTCCTCCATTCTCCAAGCTAACAGACTGACTGGAGATTGTACTGTCCATTGTTAATGCTTTCCTGTAAAGACTGGAAATTCAGTGGAAACACCTCTAAGAAAGCACAAGCCAGCAGCATTGAAAATTGTAATAATTAGTTTACTGGGAAATATTTATTTAATTGTGCTCAATGTGTTAAACCAAAAATCCCTGAGGGTGTAATACTACTTTAAGGATAAAATATTTTCTCTCACTAATGTACATCTTTCAGGTCACATTTTTAAAGACTAAAGTTGCTATGAAGCGTCAACAAGAGTGATTCCCTTATTAGCATGGTGGGTGCACCTGCCAATTAAAGAGACCTCACCACCAGACAGTGTAACCACTTCCCGTCTGGCCCATGTACATAAACGGGTGTACGGGAGCAGTGCAGGAGCGGGTGGCCGTTTATAAATGGCCTCCCCATTCACTGCTTGTGCGTGCTCCCACGGAGTGCGCGGCACCGCGGTCTGGTGCCAACTGTGTCCGGAGGACACAGCGGAACACCGAACGCTGTCCGGTCCCGATTCATGTAATCACTGATTGGCCAATCAGTGATCACAGGAACAGTAGTAAACAAGATGTCACCTGCTAACCTCATTGCTTACTAGGTGTGAAACCTGTGAATGATCACAGAGGTCACATGGTACAAGGCTATTCACGACAGCCTTGTACCATGTGACAAGCTGTGACCAATCTCAGTATTTCTCAATGGCTGCAAGAATGCAGTCAGAGAGAAGGAGCAATTATTGCTTTTACGGCCTTTATGGGTGTAAAAGCAATCAGTGTAAAAAAAAAGAAAACAAAATTTTCATCACCCCCACAAGTAGTACAGTGTCATTATGATGTCACTGTACTGCTAGGGTGACGGTATGTTTAAAAAAAAAAACCCCAAAAAAACAAATAATAATATAAAAAAAATAAAAAGTTTTGAAAAATTATACTTTTTGGTTATAATTTGTTTTTTCTTTCCCAAAAAAGATAGATGAATACAATTTGGCCAATATTTATGAAGAAAGATTATTTATTTGCAAACTTTTATAAGAAAAACACTTTTTTTCAAAATGTTTGGACTTTTTCATTTATATAGCAAAAAAAATTTAAATCCCAGTGGTGAATAAATACCACCAAAATAAAGTTTTATCTGTCTCAAAAAGATGCTAAAAAAAGTCTTATGGATACAGTGTTGCATGACCGCGCAATTATCATTCAAAGTGTGATAGCACTGAAAGCTGAAAATTGGCCTGGACAGGAAGGGGGTGAAAGTGTCCGGACTTGAAGTGGTTAAAGGTCAAGAAAAAACACAAAAGTTATTTTAAATTATCACCAAGAAACTGAGATATCAGTATTGGGTATACTGACTCTTTAAACTAAGTGAAACCAATAAGTCGGCAAAATTATCAAGAAGGGGAATAAAACTGAGCAGACAGAATTTGCAACAACTGTGCAAAGTTGACCAATCAGCTTCTAACTCCAGCTTGTTCAGTTAAGCTTTGAAAGTAAAAGCTAGAACCTGATGGGTTACCAGGCACAACTGCTACAGATTCTGTGTGCTCCAGTTTTAGTCAATTCACCACATTCTTACTCCAGGTCAAGTAAATACAGAAGTACACTGCAAGGATTTTTTAAATACTTCATTGGTAGATACCTTGTGCTTTCTGCTGTATAGATTCTGAAAGAAGACAATCCACTAAACTTTCTACAATCTTACGAATCAAATCTATATAAGCAGGGATATCTTTCTTCACTGAAAACAATTAGTTTTTCTGAATTATTACATTCATTTGCAAAATGTTTTCCTTAAAAAAAGATAAAAGAGTTGCACTTTAGCCCTTTCATTGCCACTACTGCTTGCAGCATGCCAGGTCAGTAGTTCTAACAGTGGCAGCACTTTCTCACACTGTCTATGGTTACTTCAACCACTATTGTCTTCCATTTAATTATAACCCAGGACTCAGAAATAAATTGTCCTCTAACTGCCCACTTATCTCCAGCTGAAGTGACAGTAGGCTTGAATCCTCTGCTGAATTGGTGACCTAATGGCCACCAACCATATTCCCAGAACCCCTGGGGATCTTTCTCATGTCATCAGGTCAGTAAATTCAGAGATGCTTCATTATGAGCTCCTCCAGTTCACACACAGCATCCTTCCATCTGTGAAGTTGAGTTAAGTCATCAAGCATAATGCTTGCACTTCTCTTCTAAACATAAAAAGGAGAGTAGATGATGCATTTCATTAACAAAAATGGTACAAGTTCATCAGGAGCGATCAGTTCTCTGTTCTGCTGTGTCTGTGACAGACACAGCACAGAGAGCAGGAGAGCTGGAACTGCGTGCTCCGATCTCTGCCAGTCCTGTCCCCTTTCTCAAATGAGATTGGGAGGGAGGAAGAGGGTTGTAAACTCTGCAGGCTAAGCTTACATAGTGTAATTACTCCACTGCTGACAGCTCACGTGTCAAGTCAGCCCAGGGGAGTAATCTACAGCAATTTTCTATGTGGAAAATTGCAGTATTTCCTCTATTAATAAGGTGCAGACCAGGGGCAGACTGACAACTCATGGGGCCCCCAGGCAATAGGGTATCATGGGGCCCCAATGTCCTTGCCCACACTCAAAGCACACCCAAAAAAGACTATATAAAGGTACCAGGGGCATTTCATGGGGCCCCCTACTGACCCCGGGCCCTCAGGCAGTGCCCGAGTGCTCGAATGGTCAGTCCGCCCCTGGTGCAGACCTTACAAGAGTTCATATTTCACTCTGAAACAGGTCTATCTTCTCAGTTAATGGTACACATCACTCCCGATATCTCTATTTAGGAGCACATGACAGCCCATCTAAAGACAAGGCCATGTAAGAATATGTGTAGGGTACAAACCACCTGCTGGGCATGCTTTAGATGACCTTATACATAGTTACCAGAAAACTAAAAGTACCCCAACCTTACTTGGTTATTTCCCTTTGCAACATTCAAAAAACACACTTGGAATCCACAGAATCCCAATAACACACATTAGACATCCTTGTACCTATAAGAGATTTTATGAGACGATTAGGGGAATCATTCCAATTTAAATTTTGTGCAAGCACATACAATTTTGTCTAGATTTATGCCCTATTTATGAGCTCTATATACCTTATTTATATTTTGTGGTGCCTATTTTTTTTCCATCAATACCAATTTACTTGTAATCTGTACAGACACGAACTTGTAATATCATCTTGCAAAGTAAAATAATCAAGCAGACACCCACTTACATCCTATTACAATTTCACATCCAATTTTACCCCTGCCTTTACAATGCACTTCTATGGCTCTCTCTGAAATCCTATGCACACACAGACTCCCTGAAAGTTGCATCATACTAGGCACACCACCACCATGTTAAAGTGCTAGGGCCTAAGCACTGCATTGCGGGACTGGACAGGGAGCCAGTGGTGTATTTAGGTTTTGTGCTGCCTTAGGCAAAACGAAAATCATGCCCCCCCCCCCCCATCCTTAATGAGAGCGTGAGAGTTAGTTTTTACAGCACTCACCTTCACAGGCGGAGATCGCCAGAGAGCCATGATCATGAAAGCTTGGGTGAGCTCAGCTTGTTATCCAGACATCGCGGCAAATCACAGTCAGGTTCTGCCACCCTCCAGGAGCCTCTTTCGGATCCCATGTAGCAGAGCGCAACTCATGCATTGCCTCACCGGGTCCCCATCCTCGCATATGTCCCCTCTTCCAGGGGGACGGCCCCCCCCCGAGAAACAGCTTGTTTGCCCCGCGGTAAATATGCCCCTGCAGGGAGCAAGAGCATTTCCCCCATATTCCCCTTCTAGTATCAAATCAAGAATCAAAAGTCAAGGTCTACCAAAGTACTATTTGCTATAATAGAGTAACTGCTAGCCATCATCCCTGTCACTTTTGTGTTCTGGATTTACTTTGGGTACAGTTTGGAAATGTAATTATTTCTGGCAGAACCACAAGATTCAGAAACACAAGTAAACCATTTTTCATTCTACAGGATCTCTGCTTTCAGAGTTTATAAGAGGTTAGAACATTAACTCTAAAGCCAAGTAGATAAGTAGCATTCCATTCAGGTTTTTATTGCTGCCTGTGTCACTGTTGGGAAGATTCACATTTCCTATTTGTCCAGGTGAAAAATGTTACTGGGACTGAAAGTACATGGAAAGTTTAAAACTTTAAGTTGTTGCTGGAACAACAATAAATGGAAATTAATCCAACAGAGACACTTTTTCTAGTGACAACTTAGGGCTCATTCATATGTGTGATAGCATTTGCAGCTCCTCTGAAAAGCAATATGTCTACATTGCATGCGATTGCATGGCTTGTTGGTGGTGGTACCGCCCTGCCAAAAGCAACATGCCATTTAAGTCATTGCTGCATGTTTACAGCCTTGAGTGGCCACATATCCTTGGTCATGGGAAAACTGTGGCTCAACCACCTGATTTTACTGCCCTCTGGCTGCTCATGTGAATGAGCACTAAAGTTTCATTAAACCCACACCATTAAAAACTATCAGTAAATGCTATATCACATGCTGTTCATACTCAGTCACTATCAGATTCGTTTTCTGTATTCTTCAAAAAACCTGGTTGATCCTGCTGTTCTCTAACTCCCCCCTCTGTCTATGTCTCCAATGCAGTTGGGGATTTTACAGAGTTGTGTTGGCAGTTAGTGCACATGCTCAGTTTTCAGTGAGTTTCTAACTTGAGCATCTCCTCCCTATCACATGTGATAGATATACACATGTGGGCGTATACACACTGGTAAATGACAGACAACTCCTTCCCTCCTCCATACCCACTAATCAGCTAAACACAATGGGGTGGGATACTACATCTTGATTGATGGAGGCTTCACCTCCCTGATATTCTAAGACAGAGGCTGGAGGGGCATGGCACAGCCTGTGACTGTCAAAAATCCACCCATACCATGTTTTTGCAATAAAAGTAATAAAGATTTAATTTCAAATATATATTTTGTATGGCAATTTAAAACAGGGTGTAACATGTAACATGTTACTAAAGAGCACCTACCCACATTTTTCGATCTCTCCCACCCCATGAGAGTGGGTGGGGGACCTTCTTCCCACACCTGCTGTCACAATTTAAAAACAACACAGTGCTACACAGCTGTGTCATTCATTCACAGAGTTCTGTGAATGAATGAACTACAAGTCCCATTTTCCACTGCGGCAGACAGCTTGTAGTTCTCAACGAACTGTGAGGGCACTGGTGTGTGTCTCATACTTCATATATTCTTCCTGCTTCTCAGTAAATGTCTCCCTATACGGGAGGTACAGCAGCTGTACTGAGAGTCTGCAGGAGCTTGATATTGCACCTGTGATCAGCAGCAGTGCTTTGTAGGCTCCTGAAAAGACATATTAATATATTTTATCTGCAAAAATATATGTATGTATATATATATATATATATATATATATATATATATATTTTTTTTTTATATATATATAATTTTTTTTTTTTTTAATAAAAGGTGAGCTTATCCTTTGTGAAGTGAAAGTTGATCTCTACACCGTGTATTTTAGTAAATGTGAAAAAAGTCTCATTGACGTGTTGCAGTGAACGGGTTGAAGTCTGGCGTTATCTTGTGGACAAAAACTACTCTTACAGGATGTTAAGCATAACAGATTGCAATGTTCTGATCTTTTATTTGTCCTGTAAATCACAAATGTTTCTCATAAACAAGACGAGAGCAAAAACCATTTAGAAAGTCTGAATACATTAGGTAGGAAAGTGCATTCTCTAGTCTCGAAGTGAGCATTAATAATGTAGAGAAGAAAGAAACGAGCGCTACAATAAATGTGAGGGAGCATTCAATCTAAAATACAAGTTGCTCCACCATAAACTGCTCGGAACATTCATACATTTTTTCAGTAAAAAGTTAAGTTCACTCTCAGTTTCAGAATGGAAATATTGGATGTATTGTTAGTTCTGATTTTTTTTTGAGCTTCTTAGCCGTGTCTGCTGAGCTTTTGTGACTTGTTCACAATGCATGTGAAAGACTCCAAGTTGCACATCAGCCATGCATTATATATTTACAAAGCCACTGACTTAGCTGGCACAAAGCCTAATACATTGAGTCACAAAACTGAAACAGGACTTATTTTTTTTTATTTTACAAAATATCAGACTTTAAAGGAGGTCTCTACAGAAAATGGGCAATCTCTCCTCTAGGTTTTCCGTCAATTCCTGTCCTCCTGACATCCAGTCCTGATATACAGTTGTGTTTACACCAGGACAGCAAAAGATTAGAAATCTTCACAATTTGGATACAGACAGCAATAAAAGATTGCTAGAAGTTTTCCATGCTACTGAAAAAGGTGCTTTTATTGCTGATTGTGTCTTTGCTGAATTCATTCCTTTCTCTACTTCCCTCACTTGGCAGAAAGTGAGGGAAAACCTGAACCTGTCCCAAAGATAGCAATAACAAAACACTTTTTAAATTCCATTTTTTTTTCAAAACTTTTTACAAACAGAAAGGTCTGACTGGAGCTGGATTCTAAATCTAAACTGCAGGAAAGCAGCTTCAATCCCTGCTAGGAAACACCACCAGGTCCTCACACTCCTCTGTAGTAGCAACTCGACAGCATGGTCAAGAACACACCCCCAGCCTGCTGATTGGACAGTGAAGGAGCAGCAACTCACTAATGAGGTCATCTCCCTCCTCATTTTACTCCTGATAAAGGCTATCAAGAAAGGCTGCAAGCAAGGAACATTCAAGTAATGCCTCTAGTTGCAATTAAAAACACATTTAAAGCTGAACCCTTGCAGTGCACTGCAAGGATTAAATGCTTGTTTTTTGCTAGGGGGTATCAGAAGAGTCTGTATTACTTACCCTATTCCCTGTTTCCAGCAGGCTCCAGTGCTGTTCTCATCTCCACAAAGCTCCAGCCTGTGGGTGGTCCCTCGCCCTCATCATGTACAATGCAGGGCTACAGTATGTGAAGGGGGCGAGAGTGCAACCATGGCCATAAGCAGTTTAGAGAAAAGGCTGCAGTGCCCTGGCTTGACAGATAGAGAGAGCCTGCTGGGATGTGGAATAAGTTTCTTTCAGTACTCCTAGAAAAAGCAAGAGTTTAGAACTTGCAATGAGGGGGGCTCTACTGCAAGCTTTTTTTTTTTTTTTTTCAGCCAAAGTTCAGCTTTAATGGTTTCAGACCACTCCCAAGCTGTGCAGCAAAAATGACAGTTAGACAGTTGAGACTAACCATTTAACACTTGACAGTTTACAATGATCATCTTTTACTCATTTAGTTAAACCTTTATCCCAAAAAGATAAAAACAGTTTTAATAACTGCTTAAAGTGGAACTAAACTTAACTATTAGAAACTCTAACCTGACTGCTCACAGTCCCTTATTGAATGCACACAGGTGCGCATTACCGGCACACTCCAGCTTGCTGGAATGACTGACTCCCATGCACATGTGCGGAATCATGTAATTCCACCAGGAGCAAAGAGGCCAAAAACCCAGACCCCAGAAGTAGCCAGAGAGAAGATGTTAGCAGCCGGGGATATATATCTATTGTTGCATCTCTGGAAGGTGGAGATGAGTATTTTGGAGCTTTAGTTCCGCTTTAAAATATGTTAAATGGAGTTAGGATTTATCGTGTTTTTTTAAAATAACAAACATGTTGTACATACCTGCTCTGCGCAATGGTTTTGCACAGAGTGGCCCCAAACCTCCTGTTCTGGGTTCCCTCAT